CACTGGTGGGCTCGTGTCTGTAATACTAGCTACTCTGAGGATCGTGGTTCAAAGCCAGCCAGGGCAGGAGAGTCTGTGAGACTCTTATCACTAGTTAACCACCAGAAAACCAGAAAGCTCAGGGATAGTGCCCAGGGCCTGAGTTCAAGCCCCACAGCAACAACAACAAAGAAGGTAAGAACCTTCCAACATTGAGGCCTTTGCTCCTTTTCTGTTCCATGATATATTTGCATGTTTTATGGGGGACAGAGCTACCGTTCCCTAGCGCAGTACCCAGCTGTTCTTCTCTTCTAGGGAAGCACTAAGCTGGCAGCAGGAGATGGTATAGGAGGCCATGGGAGGTGTATCTCCTTAACCCAGGAATTTTTTCTAGCTCTGGCAATTGGATTTGGAGTCTGCTGTGTGCTGAAGTGTAAAAGGATAGTATTGAGAATGTGGGAATCTGGTGTTAAGTTCCGTCACCTGTCACCTGCCTTTAGCTATGTGAACTTGAATGGCTTTTCTCGCACATTTTCCTCATTTGTAATATTATCTAGAGCATGTTTAAGGAAGCTCATCAATATGGTTATCTCAAGCTGAAGACAGAATATGAATAGACTTTGTTATGGCTACATTCCATAGTTTATTTAAATTCACTTTTTTTTTTTGAGGGTGTGTTGCTGATCCTGGGGCTGGAGCTCTGGCCTGGGCACTGTTCCTAATTTTTTTTTTTTTTTTCCGTTAAGGCTATTGCTCTACCACTTGCACGGTAACTCTTACTTCCAGTTTTTTTGGTCAGTCCTGGGGCATGAACTTGGCCTGGGAATTGGCCCTAAGCTCTTTTGCTCAAGGCTAGCGCTCTACCTCTAGAGCCACAGCCTCACTTCCAGTTTTCTGGTGGTTAATTGTAGATAAGAGTCTCATGAACTTTCCTGTCTGGGCTGGCTTTGAACTGGGATCCTCAGATCTCAGCCTCCTGAGTAGCTAGGATTCTAGACGTGAGCCAACGGTGCCTGGCTCTATCTTCTAGCTTTTTGCTAGTTAATTGGAGATAGAGTCTCAGGGACTTTACTGCTTGTGGCTTCCAACTGTGATTTTCAAATCTCAAGCCTCCTGAGTAGCTGGGATTACAGGGGTGATCCACTAATGCTTGGCATAATTTACTCCCCCTTCCCCCCCACCAAAAGAGATGGCACATAAAAGATTGTGGTTCTGAGTCTCATCTGATGATGTAATCTTGTAATTTCCCAAAACTTCTCTTTGGCTGTATAGATTTACTCTAGAAGGAAGGCAATCCCAGGTTGGCTGGGCCTCGCTTGCTCAGGTTGGAGGCTTGCAGGACTGGTTCTAGCTTGTCTGAGGCTTGTTGGGATGTTCTCAGCAGACATGCCTCTCCCATAAACCAGTACCCACCTCTTAGCAGTTACATAGGGAAGTAGAGAGAAACTTTTATTTTATCTCCTCAGTCCATTTTCCCAGTCTCCTCATTTTTATTAAGGGCACACGTTCCATCACTTTGAAATATTTTACAGGATAAAATGGAGTAGCCTGATTGCATTCTTTAACCACACTAGATATTTTAGATCAGCCACTGAGTGAATATTTACTGAGCACCTACTATGTCCCAAGGCCCTGGGGGTACCATAGCACATAGGCTCTCCATACCATAACAACAATTTGTAAAGTAATGACATTAAACGCTCGACCAAATAGATTTACCAACACCATATGACAGCTGCCATGAAGAAGAAAAAAGCTTATAAAGAGGAATATAGTATAGATTGGAGATCAAGGAAGGCTCTCAGAAAAGAGAGGTTTGATGTAAGTGGTAGAGTGCCACTATTGAGCAAAAAAGCCAAGCAAGAGCACAAGGCCCTGAGTTCTAGCCCCATTATTAGCGCGCGCGCGCACACACACACACACACACACACACACACACACACACACACACACAGAGTTTAGTCTCTGAGGAGAGACATGACAGGCAGAAATGTTCGCAAGCAGAGGTAAAATCATGTGTCAAGGTCCTGAGGTGGAAGAGACTTTGGGATAGTCCCTGTAGCTCTGGCTTTGGGGAGAAGCAGAATAATGAAAGAGGGAGAAACTGGCTTTATGGGTCTTGGTAAAGATTTGAGTTTTTTTTTTTTTTTAATTTTTTTTATCATGAAAATACCGTACAGAGGGGTTACAATTACATGGGCGAGGTAATGAGTACATTTCTTTCTTTTTTTTTTTTTTACTGTATAGAATTACATTTATTCTTTTTTTTATTGTGAAAATACTGTACAGAGGGGTTACAATTACATGGGCAAGATAATGAGTACATTTCTTATCAAGCATTGTAGCCTCCTCCTTTGTTTCCCCTTCCCATCCCATCTTCCCCCCGCTTCCCCCAACTCTCCCCCCCAAAGTTGTGAAGTTCGTTTTCGACATAACAACTTGTACGTCTCATTGTTGCAATGGGTCCACCTGTATCCCTAGTTAAGCGATATGTTTTTTCCCTTCCCCTCCATAACAACATCAAATACAGTGAAGGCAGGGGTTATACTGTGGGGGAGGGACATACAAAACCACAAAGAAATCATCTTATAAATGTGTTAGAAACAATCGCATGAAAGAAAAAAAACATTTGAATACATATCTTAGGGTTCATTTCCCTAACATCAACTTATCTGACCTTTTCTGCTTGACTCACACATATACTAGATATTGCAAATAAGGGAAACCATGAGACCTATGTTTCTTTGGACCTGGCTTACTTCACTTAATATAATTTTTTCCAAGTCTTTCCATTTCCTAACAAATGGGGCAATGTCATTCTTTCTGATGGAGGCATAGAATTCCATTGTGTATATATACCACATTTTCTTGATCCATTCATCTACTGAGGGGCATCTGGGTTGGTTCCATATCTTAGCTATGGTAAATAATGCTGCAATAAACATAGTTGTGCTGGTAGCTTTAGTGTGGTCATGTTTGTGAAGATTTGGGGTTTTATCCTAAGAGATCACTTGTAGACTTGGTCATGTTGATAGACTTGGTCATGTTGAGTGAGCATCCTCCTCCTGGGTTTTAGCTGTTCTCTTTGGAGATGCTTTGCTAGTCCAGCAGCATGGCCAATCCCAAATCAAGTGCTGCTTAGATAGAGCCATTTAGCAAATAAGCCTGCCTTGTTTAGAAATAATACCAGATCAGCCTTCCCAGGACAGTGGATCTAAAAATGACTGTCAGCACTAAGTGACTCAGAAGTGAAGTCTGTGGCCCAGCCCCTGGAAAATGTCTTGTCCCTGGGGCTGTTTGGGAGGATGCTCAGAACTTTGGATCTAGGGCCTTCATTTTCCTAGAGCCAGATCTCTGGTAGACGGAGGATGGGAACGCCAGAGAGGAAGGTTAGGAGGTTAGGATCTCTGTGCTGGTTCCACATCCTGCCACATTCCAGGCGAGTTTTGCCTGATAAAGTCCTAACTTGTTCCAGCCAGAAGGGACTACTGGAATCAACTGACCCCTTTCATTTTGTGAGGTCAGGGTACTGATAAGGGAGGGGACCACTCCCAGGAGCCAAGGGACTTCTCTAAGGGAGGGCAGAGTCCTGTGGGCCCTGGGGCCTTGAAACTACCCTGCTGCTGGGAGACTTCCCAACTAGAAGGGTCTTTATTTTTTTGTGCCAGTCCTGGGGCTTGAACGCAGGGCCTGGGCACTGTCCCTGAGCTGTTTTTGCTTAAGGCTAGGGCTGTACCACTTTGAGACACCGCTCCACTTCAGATTTCTGGTGGTTATTTGGAGATAAGAGTCTCACAGCCTTTCTTGCCCAGGTTGGCTTTGGACTGAGATCCTCAGATCTCTGCCTCTTGAGTCTCTAGGATTACAGGCCTGACCCACTGGCGCCTGGCTCAGGAAGGTCTTTGATGTCAAAAAGTCATGGACTGGCCCTGGGGTGACCATAGATAGTAGATTTTTAGTATACCTTGGTTTAGAAAATACAGTGAAATTTCTCTGCGGTTTGTACTGCTTCAAGATGAGTTTGTGTTTCGTTCATCCTACCAGCAGCTGTGTTCATGTGAAGCTAGTTGTACAACTGTGGTGGGAGACATACTTATGCAGTCTACATGCAGTGCTCAGCAGACAGATGGCTGGGAGGGTCAGTTGTGGTCATTGATGGCCTTCCCCAGCTGCTAGTGGTCTGTACATTTGGAATCACTGATCTAGAAGCATCAACGTGGGGAAAACCAGATACTTAGAAGGACACAGACAGGTTTTTCTGTGAGATGGAATGAATTGTGTAAATTCATACATATTCAAAAATAATCTTCATTTTTTTTTAAGGTGGAAAAGTAACTCAAACTGATTGTAACAAAACAATACATTCCTGAAATACATAACCAAAGCAGTTTGGTGCGCAATGTTTCACTTTGCATCTGTGCCTAGGTAACATAGTAAAATTTTTTACAGAAATAGGATGTTCCTATCCACAATTTATACATGTGTACGTGTGTGTTTACAAAAGTGTAACTGGTGACTTATTTTAAGGAAGTAACAAGGTCCAATGGACAAAGCGTTGGGTCTGGCTCAGGGTTTGAGCCTATAGTACACTAATTGAATGACTAGTAAAGTAGAATGTATCTACTTGAGTGATCCTGAGTGGGTAAAAAAGTCTTTGTAAGCCTCAGTTTACAGATCTCCGAAGTGAAGACTGATACTTGTTTTCTCACAAAGTTGTAAAAATCCAACAGATCAAATAGAGTCTTTATAGAGGCTCACAGGACTGTTAGAACTTAGGGTTTTAACCCAGTTTTTCTTTTTGAGACAAGCTTACTCTTGTAGTCCAGATTGGCCAGGAATTTTTGGTCTTCCTGCTTTGGGCTCTGGCTTGCTGGGATTACAGGCTTGTGCTGTCACTCTGGGCTGGGCTTCTGACTTTTTTCTGTGTGTTGATGTGTATCAGTGACTACTTAACCTATTGGTCACTTATTCAGTGGTTTGGAGACAAATAGTAACTGGCCCGCCCTCCTCTTTGTTGCCAGGTCACTCCTGGAAGCAAGGCCGCCGTAGCTAATTTATGTATTGGAGACATTATCACAGCCATCGATGGAGAAAATACCAACGGGATGACGCATTTAGAAGCTCAGAACAAAATCAAGGGCTGCACAGACAACATGACTCTCACAGTAACCAGGTGAGATGGTGGAAATGTTTTGTTTCTTCTAGACTGGAAGGTGCTTGTGGGCAGGGGCTGCCTTTCCCACCTCAGGGCCCCTGATCCCTCCAGCTCTGTGTATACACACCACACACACACACATACTGAATATATGCCAAAGCGCTAGAGCTTTGAAATGTCAATTGCTCTTTTTTTTTTTTTTTTTTTTTTCGGTAAGTTGTACAGTGTTTCTCATAGGCTTCTTTCTCCAAGTTACCTGAGTTTCACTTGATTCAACATAGCAAATCAAAATTCCCAGGGAGTAAAGTCAGGGAAATACTGGGAGGTATAAGGAAATGAAAACTTCCTCCTGGGGGCCTCAGAGGATCAAGCTAGGATACTGTTCCTTTTGTGCTAACAGGGCAGTGGGGGTCTCAGCGGGAGATTATAGTGACAACCAGAAGACACCTGTGTTACACCAGAGTGGGGTTAAGGCCCAGGAAAGAGAGGAGAGAGGGACTAGATGATGGAGGAGAGCACCTGGGGATTGGAATTAGGGTAGAATTTCCATTCTTTTGTTATGTCTCTGAAGGGACTCTACCAGGGCAAGATTTCAGGAATGATTTGGTTCAACCTTTAATGGCTTCCTATTTCCTCTTGGATCAAGTTCAGATTCTTCCTTTTGATCTGTGAACCTGCCCTTTAATTTCTCCCTAACCATAGCTTCTATTGTTTGTTTCTTTACTTATCCATTTGTCCAATCATTTATTCATTTATATATATCACGCTGGTACTGGGACTTGAACTCAAGGCCTCACATTCTCACTTGGTTTTTTCACTCAAGGCTAGGGGTACTACCACTTGAGCCACACCTCCACTTCTGGCTTTTTGGTGGATAATTGGAGATGAGTCTCATGGACTTTTCTGTGTGGATGGCATTGAACTATGATTCTCAGATCTCAGCTTCTTGAGTAGCTAGGATTATAGGCTGTGTGTGTGTGTGTGTGTGTTTGTGTGTGTGTGTGTGTGTGTGTGTGTGTGTGTGTGTGTGTGTGTGTGTGTGTGTACAGGTTCTGGGGCATGAATTCAAGGCCTCTCTCTTTTGCTTGCCTTTTTTGCTACACATCCACCTCCCTTCCATGATTCTTTATCTGTGACATTCATGTTTTTAACCTTGTGCCATGGGATTAGCAGGAGGACCGAGCATGGGAGAGAGTGTCAGAATAGAGTCAGAATAGAGAGTGTCAGAATAGTCGGTTCAGTATTGTACCCGCCTTTGGAGAAACTCTTTCATGACACCCCCTTCTCAAAAAGCATATTTACATCCCTCATCTCCATTTCCACCCCGCTCCAGATCCTTCCCTTCAAGCTCCAGTTAAGCCATTCATGCACTCATTGAATTATGGATTCGGTGAGTTTTGATTCATTGATGGCCACATTGAACAGGTGCATTTTATAAATTCCTGATACTGGAATGGGTATTTTGACAAATACAAATGTAAATGTAAACATTCTCTACCTGTAAAAGAAGAAAACCCTACCCTAAGGAAAACAGAGACTAGACTGGTAAGAAGAAAATCTTTTTGCAAAATCAAGAAAAGGGAAGCCTTGCTTTCACGGGACCAACTCCGCCTCATGAATGAATTGATGATCTGGTCTGGGTCAGAAACCTTGGACTAAGGTGGAGGAGAATGTCATTCCATGCTGGGCAGAGGTGGGGCGGGCTGCCGCACAAGCAGGAAGATGGAGGAGCATGGTGGCTGGTGTCAGCTGGCCAGACTGTAGAGAGGGATGCTGAGAGGAACGAGGGGGTGGGCAGCTTGCTGAGCCCTGGGGGATGGATGCCATCAGACTGGCAAAGGTGTGGTAAGGGCCATGATGAGGATGGAGCACAAGCGGAGAAGGTTTAGAAGTCCAGGCAGAGGGACGTAACATGACTTGTAACATACCCAGTTGTCCCTTAGCATCCCTGTGGATGTTAAAATGTGTGCTCAGGTCCCTCCTATGAAGAGGTGTAATGGTGTACATTCTAGGCACTTCTTCCTGTATGGTTTAAATCTTCTCAATTACCCATAATACCTCAAAACTGTAAATGCTCTATGAAGAGTTGTTATGCTGTGTTATCTAGTTGATGATGGCATGGGAAAGTCCAGATATTCAGTACAAATACAGTTTTTAAAAAAATACTGTCTGCCTGTATTTGGTTGATAGTATAGGACACATGGATGGAGAGGGCCAGTTGTATTATTTTAGCACAAATGCAACAACAGCTTTAGGATGGGGATATAGTTCAGTGGTAGAGCCTGACAGATGCAAGGCCCTGGGTTCGATCCTCAGCACTGTAAAGAAGAATGAATGAGTGAATAAAAGAAAGGAGAGAAAGAAAGCAATAAATAAATAACAACTTTGTTTATCTGTTGCAGATCTGAACAAAAAATTTGGTCTCCTCTAGTGACTGAGGAAGGGAAACGCCACCCATACAAGATGAATTTAGCCTCTGAACCCCAAGTAAGTACTTGCTGATCATTGCCACTCTTGATGACGCCATCCGCTTCCCACTTCTGGCCCTGTTCAGCGTATTCCCATTTTTCCTGCCCTGGAGCCCAGGGGTGGGTGAGATGGGAGGGAGAGCCCTCCACAGACTGTGTGGGATCTGGCTTTTGTTCAGGTTTTCCCGTAAGGGAACTGCAAGAGGAAAGGACTGGAAAACCCCAGGGCAGGGACCACAGCCTGGGCTGGAAGCAGAGGGCTGGAGGTGATAAGGGAAGCATGTGGAAGTAGGGTTAGCAGGACCAGAGTGAAGTCAGCGAGCTAAGTCAGCTCCTATGATTTCAGATCCAGGTGAATCTTCTGTGTGATAAAATAAGTTCAGAGGCATTGAAAAGAACCAAAGGGAGAGTTAAGAGTAAACCCTGCTGCTTTCCTGTGTGGATTCTTATGAGTTCTGGGATGGAAATCTCCATTTTTGTAACAGTGAAAATTCTAGTGAGACATTAAACTCACTAAGAGTAAAATGGCAGCTAATACTGGAGGATGCAAGTAAGGAGCTGATACCAAATAGAATTTCTGGGAACATGGGAGCAATCAGGCACTGGTGGCTCACACCAGCTGATCTGAAGATCAAGGTTGGAAGCCAGCTCAGGCAGACAAAGCCAAGAGATTCTTATTTCCAGTTAGCCACCAAAAAGGTGGAAGTAGAGCTGTGGCCCAAGTGGTAGAGTGGCAGCCTTGAGTGAAAAGCTAGGAGACAGCGCCCAGGCCCCGAGTTCAAGCCCCAGTACCAGCATGTGTGCACACACGTGCGTGTGAACACACACACACACACACACACACACACACACACACATGGGCGTGCATTCAAATTTCCAGGAAGTGTAGAGTGTCCTACATCTTTCAGTAGTCAGTTTTCTAGATGATTTTATTTCTCCCTTAGATGCACCTTCTAAATTATCTACAATGTGTGAAAATTCTTTTTTGAAATAAGGGAACAACTAGAAGAATGTTGAGAATACCTTTGTATTCTCAGCACACCTAGTGTGCTGCTTGTAATTTATCTACCAAAGTATTTTTAATAATTATTATGGATGAGAATGGCTTTTTCAAATTATAGTTTGGGTTGTGAATGTTATGTATTTCACCCTGAAGATGTGAGCCAGATGCTGGTGGCTCACACTTATAACCCTAGCTACTCAGGAAGCTGAGATCTGAAGATCACGGTTCAAAGTCAGACCAAAGGCAGGAAAGTCCATGAGTCTCATCTCCAGTTGCCCACCAAAAAGTTGAAGTGGAGATGTGACTCAAGTGCATAGGGCACTAGCCTTGAGTGCAAGTCTTAGGACTGGCACAGGGACAGCACCCTGGTCCTGAGTTCAAGTCCTGGGACTGGCCCCCCAAAAAGATTTTTTTCTAAGTTTGTCATATTATTTAGTTTTTATAGTATTACTACAGAATAATATAACCCAGCTTTCTTTTATACCTATGACAGAAATTGTATGACATTGAATTCACATGGTACTGTTAGTGTGTAAATTGATTGAAGACACATTTTCTTAAATGGCCCCATTAAAATTTCAGAAATGTAGTCACAAAATTATTTTTTCTCACCACTATAGTGAAACATCATACTTGAAGCCAGGTACTGGTGGCTCATGCCTGTAATCCTAGTTACTAAGGAGGCTAAGATCTGAGGATCATGGTTTGAACTCAGCCCAGGCAAGAAAGTTCAGCACCAAAAAAGCTGGAAGTAGAGCTATGGCTCAAGTGGTAGAATTCTAGTTTTGAGCAATAAAGCTCAGAGACAGTACCCAGGCCCTACGTTCTAGCCCCAGGACTAGCACCAAAACAAAAACATCATGCTTAAACAGGATCCTCGAGTTGTTTAAAGGATCATTTTGCATCTGCCATTTCCACACTGTCATGAACTTAATAGTCTATATAAGCTCAGTAAGGCTAGTTCACCAAACAACAGGCTGTAATTTGGCCTGTGTGCAAAGTGATTTAAAACATACCAGAAGCCAGGCGCTGGTGGCTCACGCCTGTAATCCTAGCTACTCAGGAGGCTGAGATCTGAGGATCGCAGTTCAAAGCCAGCCCGGGCAAGAGAGACCGTGAGACTCTTATCTCCAATAAACCACCAGAAAACCGGAAGTGGCGCTGTAGCTCAAGTGGTAGAGCGCTCGCCTTGAGCTGAAGAGCTGAGGGACAGCGCCCAGGCCCAGAGTTCAAGCCCCAAGACCGACAAAAAAAAAAAAGACATACCAGAGTTACAGTCAGTTTCCCTGGGAGTCTTCAGCTACTTCATTAAATATGCTGTAAATATTCAATTTCAGTGTTATGTTTTCATATATTTTATGTCACATGGAGTGATTTTGTTTTAAATTGGTCTGTCTGAAATCCTAATTTTCACCTAAATAAGGCAGTCATTCACATTTCAGTTGTACTTTTTATTTGCATCATTGTTGAATTTTCATCTTGAAACATGTGAACATATTTTTAAGGTAGTTCTCTTTGGATTAACTGGGGTGTATTTGTATCTTGATTCCAGTAGCTTATTAGTACAAAAAGACTCCCACCTCTTGCTTTTCCATAATCTTCCATTTTGAGTCTTAAACTAGAGGATACCTGAGTGAGGGCAGAGTTCATCTGTAACAAAAAGAGCTACTGGTTCTCATAAAGCCAAGCAACACCCCAGCTTATCTGAGGTCAGCATAGTTACACACCTAGTTTGTATTTCCTCATTATTGAGTTTCCTTGGAGACTGATAAATACAAAGCCCAAACAATTACATCATCCCTTCCAAAACGGCAAGTCCTAAATCTGCCTGCCTTCTGGAAAGATCACTATTCACTTGGGGGTAGAGATATTCCTTTTATGTCCAAACCAGATACATTCTTGAAAGATTGTTTACAAAGTGAAAATCAAGATTTCTAAACCTCAGTTGTCCAAGGGCTTTCCCTCTAATTGGACATATATTTCTCCAGAGTCCTAGGAGACTGGAGAACAGAGCAGAACCTGACTGGCTGGCAGTCAGTTGCCAGTCACTGTGTTGGGTGTGCTAACATGACACTGTGAGGGCTAGAGAAGAAGCTTTATTGTTGTTTTTGTCATTTTAAGGATGAGCAATGGGCTCAGAGAGGTCTAACTGGCCCATAGCCAGACTTGAAGTGGAAAGGCAAAGCTGAGCCAAGATTGAAGAATAAGTCTCTTCTCTGGTGCTCAGCCTGCTAGCACTGGCTGCTTCTAGCACTGGCCATGGGGCTGTAGTGAATGTGGCAAGAATCTTAGGCCTTCCCTTGTGACTTTGCCACCTTCGTCACAATCAAGTTTCAATTATTCCTTTGAGCCCTTGTGTCAAATTGCTCAACTGTTCCTCTGTTTCTTCATTACTGCTGAAATATTCTTTTGTTGTTGTTGGTTTTTGTACCTGTCCTGGGCCTTGAATTTAGGGTCTGGATGCTGTCCTTGAGCTTTTGTGTTCAAGGCTAGTAGTGCTCTACCACTGGTACCATAGCTCCATTTGCAGCACTTTGGGTAGGTAATTGGAAATAAGAATCTCATGGACTTTCCTTTACAGGCTGGCTTTGAACTGGGATCTTCAGATCTCAGCCCATTGAGTAGCTAGCATTGCAGGCATGAACCACTGGTGCCCAGCTGAAATATTTATTCTTAAGTAGCTATGCATCTTCTTTTGTGGTTACCTGTGTAAACTTAGCTTTTTATATAATATGGACAGAGTCAGTTGAACATTATCCCACTGATTCTGACTTGTTAAAGAGGAAGCCTATAGAATAGTGATAAATAAATAAGAAACTCAATCAGAAAAACCTTTATGGAGGGGTGGTACTAGGGTTTGAACTCAAGGTCTTGTGCTTGCTAGGCAGGTATTCTACCACTTGAACCATGTGCCCAGTCACAAACATTTTTATGTTGTCTATTAACTAATTTTTGTGTTGATCCTGGGGCTTGAACTCAGGAACTGGGCACTGTCCCTTAGGGCTTTTTGTTCAAGATTACACTCTGCCACTTGAGCCATAGCTCCTCTTCCCATCTGTTGGTGGTTAATAAGAGTTTCATAGATTTGACTGCCAATAATGACTTTGAATGGCCATCCTCAGATTTCAGCCTCCTGAGTAGCTAAGATTACAGGCATGAGCCACTGGTAGATGGCTGTTGTCTTTTATTTTAAATTAGGTATGCAGTGAATTAAAGTGTTAGGTTTTCAAGAAAGCATTGAAGATTTAACAAGGAAGAAAGAAAAGAAAGAGCAATAGAGACAAGAGCTCGTTTCGGACTTGGGTGTTTAAAGGAGAGACCAGAGTTCAGGTGAATTTTCTCAGGAAGTCAGCAAACACATGGAAATTGTGTTTAAAGGACAGCATAGTGCATGCATTGCCTGCAAGCCATGGATAGATCCAGACAAATGGAGCAGAAAGGGCCTTGCTTACTGAGTCACTGGAAAGCATTCGAGACTTTTTTTTTTAAGGAATGTTTGTTTACAAAGTGTATTTGAGCACTTGCACAGAAGCATCTAGAAGTTGCTGTTGTAGTAATTAGTTGCCAGACTTCCAGCAGGGGAGGGGCAGAGGGGGTGTTCTCAGATCACAGAGAGAGGACAATGAGAACACAAAGAACTCAAAGTTCTTCTGCCCCTGACCAGGTGTCTTTTAACCTTTCATCTGAGTAGCCTGTGTGTTCCCTACCAGGAGCAATCCGCCCACTCCTTGTTGCCCCCACTGAGGGAATGAGACCAGCCCCGCACCCACCAGCTTGCACCACAACCCTGTCATCTTGTTGATCAGACCTACTCTGTTCTGGGGAATTTATCTCCACCTTGTCATCTCCTGCTCTGCTCTGCATTTTCCTTTCCTCTTGATTCCTTCATCCCTCTGGAATGTACCCTAAGGGTGCTTCATCTCTGCCTTAGATCCTTCCAGCCCAAGGCATCCAGGGGGTGTCCTGCTCCAGTTACCCCAGGATCAGCTTTTGCTGGGCTTTGGGGCAGAATCAGAAGCAGAGCTGATTCAGAGGGTAGGAACTTAACCCCGTTTCCCATCGAGGACCCTTTCCTGGTTGTTGCCCACAAGTCTCAGTAGATCTGAGAGAGTCTCTCAGCTACAGTGTGACATTGCACCGAAGCCATTGTGGCTTGGCTGGAAACTCTTCCCTGATTCTCAGCTGGCACTGCCCATCAAGAGACGGATGGTGAACTTGACCCTTGATTTCTCCTCTGCTCTGCTTACAGGAGGTCCTACACATAGGAAGTGCCCACAACAGAAGTGCCATGCCCTTTACTGCCTCACCTGCCTCTGGCACTGCCCCCAGGGTCATCACCAACCAGTACAACAACCCATCCGGCTTGTACTCCTCTGAAAACATCTCCAACTTCAACAATGCTGTGGAGTCAAAGACTGCAGCCAGTGGAGGAGAGGCCAATGGCAGACCGTAAGTAGGCCCAGGAATTGTCTTCAGATCCTTTCTTGAAGAAGCTTTTTTATACCAGGACCATTTCCTCTTGGCAAATGAGAGAAGGCTGAACCATTACTCAGGGGAGAAAACTTTTGTATGCATTTTTCTTACCTGTGTGTGTGTGCACGTGCCAGTGCTGGACAGGCCCTGGGCACTGTCCCATAGCTTTGTCTGCTCAAGGCCGGTGCTCTATCGTCTGACCCACAGGTCCATTTCTGGCTTTTTGGTGGTTAATTGGAGATAAGTCCATGTTCATGGACTTTCCTGCCTGGGTTGGGTTCCAGCTGTGATCCTCAGATCTCAATCTCTTGAGTAGCTAGGATTACAGTTATGAGCCACCAGCACCCAACTCATTTTTCTTTCTGCTTGGTAGAGTGGTTGTAGGAATAAGAAGTGACATGGAAATAGCCCTGCACTGTGTCTGCCACTGTTGAGAACAGTGATTCATCTTGTCCTGAGCGCTCTGCTCATCTTCAGCATCTGCTAATCACAGACCTTCCTTCTCAGCCCCGCCTCTCCCTGAGGAGTTCCTCAGTATTCCTGCTTGGGAGTGCTGGTGAGATGCTAGCATCCTCCTATTGTTCTGCATCTGATCTGAGCAGGGAGGGCGAAGGATGCCATGGTGTCCTCTTGGGCTGAATCTGCTTACTTTTGCTCCAGAGTGAAAAAAGAAATTGTAGAAAGAAAAGTCCATGAGCCTATAAATGCTTGTCCACAGGAGTGGGTTCTGGTCTTGTGGCAGAGGCAGTCTTAGCAAGGGAGAGATGGGCCTGTGGGTGGAAAAAGCAGAAAAGTCTTGCGGGGGACTGGGAAGGCCTGTCCTCTTCTGTCACAGACTGTTTATTGGCTTGCAATGCTTTTGAGTCTGTATCAGGTCCCTTAGGTCTTCTCATCAGAGGGGCCTATTATGTATCTCTTCCTTCCCAAACTCTTTATGATGGTATTGTAATGAACTCAGGGCCTCATGTTCTTGCTTAGCTTTTTTGCTTAAGGCTGGTGCTCTACCATTTGAGCCATGCTCTTATTTCCAGCTTTTTACTGGCTTATGAGGGATAAGATTCTTATGTACTATTCAGCCTGGGCTGGCTTTGAACCATGATCCTTGTGAGATTTCCGCTTCCTGAATAGCTTGGTTTATAGGCATGGGCCACTAGCTCCCTCCCAAACACTTCAAGGATGAATCCAGAACTCCAGCAGCCTGTGGCAGAGGACCTGGGTGTGAGGATAAGAGTTAAGTGGACAGATTAGCGTATGAGTTTGCCACACACATACCCAAAAGCCACATCAGGACAAGCATCCCAGGGTAGAGAAGACTGCACTGTGGTCTGTGGCCATTGGACCACGCATGCTCCGTGCAGACATGGTGCTGCTCCTCTGATTCAAAGCCAGAAACCAAGTGCAGCTCAAGGATTCCTATTCCTGCTGATTGCTTTCATTAAAATAGAAGTTGCAAAAGCCTTTTTTAAATATGCAAGCTGAGTTTCTGGTGTTCAAGCTTTGTTGGAAAACATGGTAATAGTCCCAACTTCTCTGCTCTAAGGATCTTTCCCACCTGCAATCCTCAGATTATTGTCTTAACTCTGAAGCCCTCTGTGCCCTTCAGTTCTCCCGAATTCAACTTTATTAGTCACTCACCCAACTTTAGGGTGTTTAAATTGTATACCCCTAAGTGCTTCAGATGCAGATGAGGAGAGGTTAAGTTCTTTGGGTCCTGGAGTCCTTAGCTGTTTATTAAGGGCTTTGTAAGAACCACACTCATGGGCATAGTGGCCTCATGGTATATATATATATAATCTTTACCCCCCGCCCCCTGCCACACCCCCACTCCAGAAGAGAGACTGATATTTTCAAGTCCTTACTGTATGCAGGTCTTTGTGCCTGACATGGAGAGGACACTGAGATTTTCTTTTCAGTTCCTTAGGTGTCTCAGAGGACAGACTTTGGCTGTTTGGCTTTAGAAGACAATGAAAGTAGTCGTTGTTGCTGGTGGCTCACACTTAGCCTCTTAGGAGGAGGCAGAGGTTGGGAGGATCAAGGTCTGAGGCTTCCATTGGCAAAGAATTTGCAAGACCTCATTTCAATAGCTGGCTGTGTAGTGGTGTGTACTTGTCACACCCATTACGACAGGAAGTATATATATATAGAAGGATCATGATATGGGCTTAGCCCAGGCCCCAAAATAACCAGCAAAAAGGGCTGGAGGGGTGACTAAAGAGACAGAGCGCTCCCTTAGCATGTACAAAGCTCTGAGTTCAAATCTCCAGTACCATTATTATTATTATTTTTTAATATTGAAGGCATTTATCATATTAACTAAGGCAAAGTGGGCATTCCTGCTTCGGTCCCCCAAATTCTGGTTCCTAAAAGGCCGTGCCGGCTTGAGTTGTTGATACCCTTCAAGGTGATTGTGGGGATACTGGGGATGCCCGAGAGCCATGCCGCCCCTCCCCACACAGGTTGCCATGGACACATCCTGAAGGAAGGCTTCTGAGCAGCTCAGTGCAGACTGGCAGAGATGCCAAGGGGGGCTAAGGAGCAAGGGGCCGAGAGGGCAGAGGGGCAGCCCCGTGTTTTCGCTGCTTTGGTGCTGGGAGAGGCAGAGAGGGTAGCCTTCCTTCACTGGCCCCAAGTGGACTGCTGCATGATCTCCATTTTATAACCCAGGAAATGACACATTTTCATTGGAAGAACCACAATGCACTGGCCTGGAAAGTATTTTTAGTGTGGCCTTGGCAATTTTTCCTTCATTAAAGTCTTCTTACTTCTCTTATGCTCCCTGCTTGTTCTTTCCCTTCCTGTCTGAAACTTTCCCCTCCCATCGCAGTCTGGGTTCAGCGTCCTCTGAGTCTTTATCAAGGCTCCGTGCAGCTTTTCCCCAATGAGGAGGACCCGTGATCGGTGCCATCCTAAGCTATGTGAGGAGGAATCCAGAACCATGAGAATACCTCTGCCCAAAGCCGTGGAGCTTGGCTGTGCTGTTAGCATAGGGGTCTCTACTTGCTGCTTCATGCCTGTCTGGTATGATCTCTGCAAAGAGAGTCTCTTCCCATCCCAGCAGCTCCCAGGGTAATGCCACTGGCTCAGCATGAGTCCCTAGCACTGGCTTATACCAGTGTCCCGTCCCCCCCCCCCCCCTTCCCATCACACACACTGTTTAGTCTGTGAAATCCATGGAGGCTCCAGAATTGGCTCATTACATACTTTGCATCTGACTTCATCACCCATTCCCTGGGGGCTCACCCTGAATTTCTTTGTAAAGCATCCGTGTGTGTGTGTGTGTGTGTGTGTGTGTGTGTGTTGTGTGTTGTGTGTGAGATCTTCACACAGTTGCCTTCCAATCAAGTCAGAATGCCAATAGCACTGCTACCTGGGAAGGCAGGGAGAGTGCCTCCATTGTTGCTTCTCCTTCCTCGTGGGCTGAAGGGGGCAGATAGATCCTCAGCAGCCTCTTCCCTCTAGGGGAGTTCAGCGAAGCAGTCCTTTCTCCGGTGTACCTTAAGGGTGAAGGACGTCTGTGACCTCTTCCAACTGAGTTTAGATGTTCTCATCAATATCGGATAACTCAGAGCCTGGATTGTCTTGTTTAGATGATATCGTTTGAGACTTCCTGCTAGGTAGGTAGATGGGCCTGAGCATTGAATGCCAGCTTTGCCTTTCACCAGCTGAGTAACTGTGGACAAACTCTGTAACTGCTCTGAAACCCTGTCTCCCAGTCTTTAAGATGGACTCAAACTACTAACCTCAGTACCAGGTTGGTGAGAGAATGCAATGTAGTGTGTATTTTTTAAAAAAGCAAGTCGGGCACTGTTCAAATGGTGCCAGAGGGATTGCATTAGCCCCGGCTGCGTGGGAGCTAGAGCAGAGGGCTTTGAGCACGACGGTGGCACTTATCTCTAGCTAACCTGGCCCCAGTGCAGAGAACTGCCTCCTGAGTCTGGACGCTCCTTCCTCCTTTGCCAGGACTCATGGGGCTAATAATTCCTTCTCTGCTTTCTTAATCACAGGGACCATCATCTGGGCCCGTGAAGACTAAAACACAAAAAACACAGGCCAGACAGCCCTTGTAGAGCTGAATGCCTAGTTTCCCAGAATTACTCCCTTCCCCTTCCCCTTCCCCTTCCCCTTCCCCTTCCCCTTCCCCTTCCCCTTCTCCTTCTTCCTTTCCCTTGTTTCTTTTCCTTTCCCTTTGTCCTTCCCCTTCCTCTACTTCCCTTTCTTCCCTTTCCCCCCTTTTCCCCATGCCGTTCCCTCTTCACCTTCCCCTTCCCCTCTCCAACCTGGGGTATGTCTAAACCCAGATTCTCATGTCTTGGAATGAGACACTGAAAGCTTCTCCTGGACACACCCTGAAGGGATTCTTCATCCTGAAGGAAAGCCTTTTCTTTATCCTGGGGGGGGGGGGGGGGGGGGGGGGGGGGGGAGGGGAGATCTCTACACCATTTTCAGTAAATGCTTAACTTCTATTTGGGGGCAAATATTCTATTTACTTTTTTCTTTGTGCAGGTCCCCACTTGAACTCTGGGTAATTATTTGAAGATAAGTATTAGGGGGCTGGGAATGTGGTTTAGTGGTAGAGTGCTTGCCTACCATGCATGAAGTCCTGGGTTTGATTCCTCAGTACCACATGAACAGAAAAAGCCACAGTGGTGCTGTGGCTCAAGTGGGAGAGTGCTAGCCTTGAGCAAAAGAAGCTCAGGGATAGTACCCAGGCTCTGAGTTCAAGCCTCAGGACTGATCAAAAACAAAAACAGGATGTTGACAGGACTCAATGGAAAGGTGCAACTTGCAGGTCACTAGTTTCTCAAGTTGCCCCTTGTAGCCACGCCCACTTCCCTCCCCCCTTCCTTTCCCCCAGCAGCAGCCTACTAATCTCTTTGCTACAGTCTTCTTAGTTCAGGAATGTTACATTCAGGGAATTATAAAACCCATTATGTTCTAGGATTATCATTTTTTATGCTCAACGCAGTGTTTTGGAG